GTCGATATGCATCTGTTTTCATTATAGCTGCGACCACCACAACCTGCTGTGTACGTGTTTGTTTTGGATGTGAGTGCAGCGGCTGTTGAAGCAGGTATGACTATATTTGGGCTTTATGATGCTCAATAAAAAAGGAATGGATCGAATTTCAAAGGTGCCTTTCGTATTTCTGATGTGATCAGGAGGAGTGATAAGGTCAATGTTGGGTTTCTTTTCACTAGCATTTCTAGGAGTGACCTATCGCAGTGGCCAATTTTATTGCCGGTTAACACTTTCTCGTTTCATTGGAACTACCTGAGGGCGTTCAGCAGTTTTGCATTTCTAGTCAGTGATGCGGTCGAAATAGTGTAGTTTCTGCTTGCATTGTTCCTACGTAGATTCATCTCCTGTCGGGCGTCACTACCCTTACCATAAGGAGTTTCAGGGGGTTTAACAGTTCATCTTTGCGTTGCTTTTTTTGCCGCATTGCACGTTTGTCTTCCATTTAGGATATATCTACACATTTTCGGAGCAACTGCTGATCAACCTTGACCAACTTCCTGGAGACGACAGAACACAAGTTCGTTTGAGTATTTGCTATTTAAGCTCCAGTTTTATGGCATAGTTTTGTAATGGTGCTTTGCACGACTATCGGACATGCTCACGATATTGTCTTTGCATGATAATTTCAGGTGGCTTTTGTTTGCGTTGATTCAATGGTACATTTTTATCAGTTTTCATCCGGATCACGACGCCTTCCTAAGGAACTGATTGTTGACGAAGTTGATGGTACGGTACGCCTGTAGTTAAAGGGTTCAGTTTGCAAGATGTTCCCCTTTCAGAGATGTTCCTCCCTTCACATCAGGGCATATTGATACCATTGAAGAAGAATGCTGACGTAAGTTTCATTTCAGTGAAACAATATCAGTTATTGTTGACGAGCACGGCCAACGCGTTCCAAATAATCAACGGAAACAATATACTTGAGCAGATAGGCAGCTATAATTGCAGCAAATATATTGTGATTAACAATCTTCGAAAAAGCTTCAAGACTTTCTGATGATCAAAAATAATAATACTGTATTGAGAAAAGCATGAACATTTGTAGGAATGCGTTCTTTCATATGAATGAGTAGACAGAATGGGCTCAGTAGCATCGATCACGAGAAATAAAAACGAGTGAAAAACCGCTTTCTAAGAAGTTGCATTGCAGAAATAAGGGGTCCATTTCGAATTCCCACGATTGTACAACGGTGAAGGGATTTGAAAGGATCTCTACCCCTCTCATGTCAAAGGAGTTTTGAAACTGTGACTGTCTATTGACAGGGTGGACACGACTTTCGCGTTCGCGCGCGAAACATTTTTCGCTGCGGGAACTCCAGGTCCACTCATGATCAGCGGTGGACCTGAGGTTCCTGCAGTGAAAAATGTTTCGCGCTGCGAAACGCGAAAAATTCGCTTTCTGTCCGAGTGAACCACACCCGACAGGGTTACCCCTATCCTAACTGTCATCTAATTGTGCACTGTAACTAGCATTCGAGATATTGAAGAGAAGAATAAAAGAATTTCTCTGAATCGTGCCCATCTGTCATCCTTGAGGAGCCTACTCTTGGCAGCAGTTGTATTCAGTAGCAGTGGCTATCTCAAGATCATAGTAGCGAGCTATTCTCAATAAAATTCCTTTTACTTGGTAATTAGTTTTATGACGTCACTTAATGACAACGTTTAGGCTGTTCGCGCTTTCGTCGAGAAGCTTCCTGTACTTTTTGAACATGCTGGCAGCTCTTCGAACTGCCTTGGATCTGCACTGAAGATTGTGCATGAGTTAATAGTAAGTGGAAGCTTTTAAACAATCTTTTCACCAAAAAATGAGAATCACAACCATATAGTGAATTTTTGTTTTCACACAAGAGTTGGATTTCTCGTGACAGCTTTTTTAATACTTCTCTTCATAAGTGCTTTACCTGTAAGATAATCAAATGAATTAGATGCATCAGCTTTTATCACGCTCAGACCTGCCGTGAACGATAAAACTCGAAAGTCACTACAATCTTGTGTATTCTTTCCACCTTACCACTTTCATTAACTCAATAGGCGAGACTTCGGAGCAAGAGCAGGGTGTTTTATATTATGGTTTTCTTTAAAGGCACCAGTCACCATGGCGGAGGGGGGGAGGGGAATTGGTAGAAAGTTGGATGGTCTGTTAAGACCACTGTTTTCCTGTTTCGATTGCTGTTTTGTGTATGATCTTTCAAACTGTTACGTAACCTATACAACTTTTGCAGGCAGATATAGGTGGACGTGTAACAGTGTTTCAAGCGTCGATCCCTAATCTTGGACCCGCTAGCTTGAAATCTCGCGAGGATCCGAATCAGAGAGCAGCAAATGTATGTTGCAAGAATTGTTCCTTGCTTGAAAATTTCTTACTCTATCATACGTCGTTCAAATGAATGGAAAAGAGTTTAAAGGAGTCTGTTGCGATAAATAAGGTACGAGAGACTTGGAGAGGTACTCGTATCGCTAAAGATAGGCGGAACTCGAGAGAAGTGAGTAGTAGTGCGTCGCCGCGAAGGGCCACCCATCGCCGCGAAGTTAACTTCCAACTCCTGGCCCACCATCGCTGTCCAGTGTCTCATTCTCGCGCTCGGGCTGTGGACTACTTGATTGGCATGAAATCCCTTTTTCAGAGAGAGTTGCAGGAAGGCCCAATAATGCTTGAACCTCGCTCAGAGCCAAAATCAACCGGGAGAGGTGGTTTTCCTTTCGCGCGTTTTAGGTCGTTTTCTCGGTCTTTTCTCGACAGTTGTACTTTGGTAAACTTTACCTTTGAGCACATCTGTATGCTGTGATAAAGCGTCTCCCAATGGGAAAGGACCAAACTAAGGAATTTGTGAGAGGTACTGAGCAGCAACGGGTCTCTGCGTAATCGAGTGATCAAGTAACATTAAGAAAGCTGGCACGGAGATTTAGCGGCCAAAAGATCAGAAGAAGTGTCATATTCAGTACATGCTCCTCTCAGTGGTCAGCTTCAAAAAGTTCTGCGCGATACCCGTGCTGGTCTTCCAATCAAGATGGTCACCTTATGAATCCTATGTGACAGTCATACCCTAGCTGGTAGCTCACCATGGTAGTCTTTGCTATGGAAGAAATAATGAAAAATAATTGTGGAGATGAGTTGCTTTTCAAATCAACCGACCGCATTTCTGAAAGGTGCTCTTATTGATACATCCTGTTAATGTTATGTGATATGTTAAGGTGACAGTAAATATTAGTGGCGCCCACTGTGTCAGCTTTTTGTGGATATTATGGGATCCAATCTCTCCTAAGGTGCATGTAACAGTTATGGTGAACGGCAGAATTTATGGCCCATAATTTCTCGAAGTATCGTAGGAGTTCGAAGGGAGAAAAAACGGAATGTTTTTGGATTTACAGTAGACACTGTTTTCAAATTTTTAAGGCTTTTCGAACATTTTTCTCAAGAGATACGTCAATTTCAGGATGTTCAAAATCTCGGACCGGTGACTGATTTTTATAAATGTCTCGCTTTGGAGTGTACTGGACATCAGGTGGCTTTGGATCTGTTCATGCTTAACTCACAATACGCTGACCTTGCCACTCTGTGTAAGTTTTTGATTGTTTTCATGTTTATGTCTTGTTCTTGTTTTCTATGCTCTATTTTAAGCTGAAATGGCGAAATTCTCCACCGGCTGTGTTTACCACTTTCCAAACTATCATTGCCTCAACGATACCGTGCAGGTTTGTCGCTGTTTTTCCTTTTCCTCAAGAACGCGCACTTCTTCCTGTAGCAAGCTTCAACTGCGCTTTATCTCATCTGTCACTTCTACTCGGTAAAAATTTTCTCTGAAATTGTTTTCAATTGTGATTGTAACAAGAAAATTTGCGCTAATTCTGTTTTAACTGTGATATACGAAAAAAGAAGCTGGCGCTAATAGTCAGTAAAATTCATATGTTATTGTGTCAGTTACCTGGTCTATTAGGCAAGAATCAGAGTACGCACGTACCATTTTGTGTGTTAAGGTGAAGAGATTCGAGAAAATTCTCACAAGATACCTCACGCGGAAAATTGGATTTGAGGCCGTACTTCGAATACGCTGTTCAAGAGGTTGTTTTTTCAATCAAGAGGTTACGGTTTCAAAATATGTGTCGGGTAATGAGGCTTATTAAGGGCTCAGCTTATCCGCCTTTTACGGAAATTTCTTCGTAAGATCAACTGACCTTCTTGCTCTGGCTAACGTGAATCCAGACTCAGCTATTGCGGTCCAGGTAATTTAACCATTTACATTTCATTGGCATTAGACACAATAATGTTGAAGTTGTCTTTTTTCAAGAATAGATCTTATATCTTAGGTGAGCATGGAGGAGAAGCTGGCAACCACTGTATGCTTTCAAGCAGCTCTTCTTTACACATCCAGCAAAGGTATGTTTTGGATGGCTCGAAGCACATTCCGCAACTAGCTGTGTTGGGCAGAATTCCGTGGGGTGGATTAGGCCGTAGAGCTTTTGGCTTGCCAAAGTCAATAGAAGGGGCTACGATGTTTCTTTGTCTGCTTAAGCAATGTTGAAATTTAAAGTCACTTGCAAAAAGAAAGTCTCTTTGGAATCGCTTTGAGAAATTAGTATCGTTTATTTTTTTCCTTTTCTAGCGGGCTACTTCATAATGAGCTTCTTTTTCAGCCCACTACTCACACCTTGTTGTCGTGGCATGTGACCTCAGCTTTGAGATGCCTTTACATGCATAAATAAATGTCACTTTAGGGGATCGTCGTATCCGGGTTCATACAATGTGCCTACCTACAACTGCAGATTTGGCTCAAGTGTACAACAACTTTGACCTGAAAGCCACGGTTTCCCTTATTGCGAAAATCGGTGTGTTTTACAAATTTTTTGTTGCACTTTTAAGTCTTATTTCACGTATTTTAAGGAGTTGACCGATCAATGACGGGCTCTTCGCTGGCGGATTGTAGAGAGGCTATAGTGAATGCTGTAGTAGATTCGCTTGGTGCTTACCATAAGACTATGCGGCAAGGCCGTCCAGGTGGTGTACTTGTGCCACGGAAAGGTCATCTGCGGTTGTTCCCTCTCTACGCACTCGCTATGCTGAAGCATGTAAGCATGTTTTTGAAGAGTTTTTCAAAGTATGCTGTATTGTCGCATTCCTTTGCATCCTTAAAGAAATACTTTTTCACGTTGTATGCGTGCACTGCATGAGTTCAGTTTGAAGCGCGAAGCAATACTTCTGTGCAAAGGGAGGTTTGCTGGCAGAACTGACCGCAAATACGCTGAAGTGCGATTTGTCGTATGAAATATACAGAAGCTGAGTAAAACATGTCGGCTGAATCTGAAAACTGGGCTGGATGATGAAGACCTCATGTTGTTGGGAAACACATGTATAGAAAGTAAAAAGTGTACTACAAGATTTCCCAGTCGAGGGTAGGATCCAGGGTGAAAATCTTGTCGAGGACGTGGTCACATCAGTACGACCCCCCCCCTCAGATCGGGGTCTTGATACGACCCCTCTAACTTTGATTTGATGTGAATAAGCGAGTTCCATCAATGTACAGCAAAGCATTCAGTTGCAGCGCGGTTTATCCGTGGGTCAGATTTGCCGAAACCCCGCTCGAAACCGTCGAAATCTACACTCTCGATGAAAAGGTTCCATTCCCCCATTTCATAACCTTTATGTGGTAGGGTTAGATAGAGCTGGATTTGCTACTACCGGGCAATATTGAAATTGATCTAAAAGCTTTACACTCGAAGAGATAGGGTCTCTCAAATTTTGTCGAGGCAGCGTCGAGGATGCTGAAATTTTCATTTTTGCCACTTTAAAAGGCAATATCTCTCTAATTTCGTAGGACTTGAAAAAAGAAAAACAGTTTTGGAAACAAGAGAGTTTGCCTTTTCTAGCCAAGCTGTTTAGCTTTCCTCTACATTTTGTAGCGGAGGACATATTTGCGCTAAGGTTCGACGATTTCGGTCACTTAAAAAGCGCTGCTCTCTTCTTACACCATTGCAAGTTAATTCGTTGGCAAGCTCGAAATGTGTCTAGAATATTCTCCCAACGTAAGCGACAAAAAAGGGGCAATCGTCATCGTCCGATCTCGTCTCAGTATAGGCCATGCATCCGACCTCCACTCAAGTTGTAGAATCTATTGAAAGGTGTTATACATATGATGATGACCTGTTGACAGAACTGTATTGTAAGAAAACATTTCGTAACTCCTGTAACCTAAGGAACAGCTTCATTTGCCCAGGGCTTCATAAACTTGTCGCTTTTGCAATAGATTCCCTAACAACAACGAGGTATGAGGGCGAGCGGAGCGGCGGTAGATAGAGGAAATGCCTTGCAGCTCGTGTGCATACGTAACCCTGTTTCTTGTGAAGATGCACTTTCATTCTTTGTAGTGCTTTCAAATACTACCTTCTCGACGGTAGAGGGACGGAACGGCTGAAGCTTGCAATCTCTCATGTCATGTTTTCTCACATATCCTTGTTTCTGCTGCGCTACACCCTTTCCCTCCTATCTGCACCCACCACTGACGTTTTGACCCCCCCCAGTACGACCCCCCATAACCCACCTTGGCAAATACGACCCCTCTGTCGAGGATTTCCTCGACCGATATTCACTTCTCGAGCACTTCCTTTTAGCCGCATTATGACCTTTTACACATTTCCGAAGTCACATTGAGCTCTGAGAAGTTCCTGTTTCTGCATCTAATTCCCAAATACCACGTGTCCCAATTTCTCTAACACATTGATGACTCCCGTTGTGCGTGGTGCCCATACCCATATCTTGTCGATAATTTCGCAAATCAACTCTTTCAATAATATTCGTTAGGTGTTATTGAATACTAGTATTTGCTGGACTCTATTGATGTAAGGGAGCAACCTTCGCTAGCGTAAAAAATACAATAAATCGCGAAAAACAACCCTGCCGCAATAGAAGCGCATGCGCACATGCTGTCGGCCAGTTAGAAAAATAAAAGATTCCACTTTAAAGATCAACGAGTCGAAACGAAAGAAACTACCCAAGCTTAAGGACAGACGAACCTTGTCAGGGTGCGGACCGACCGGGCGAGAGTGCCATTGCTCAGCTTCTGGGCCGTTTCTCATGTTTTTTTTTTATTTCGCTATCACCGACCACCTCTACCTCTACTCTAATGGGCTGCCTCCAGTCGTAAACTCTGACTGCTGTCAGAAGTAAGCTGTCGTCGGACAAGACGGCCATGTTCTCCTTAAAAGTTTTCAAGACCCTGTGGTTTTATCTACATTATAAGTGCCGCTCACCCTTGCTGTGAGAATTCTATCAATGGGGGTAATCTGTGCGAGGAAAATCGCTCATGTGCGACATGGGCAAAATTTGCCCTCTCCCTGTATAGTCCGATGATTTTAACGTAATTCCTTATGACTGTGGAAGTAGATTTTGAATCTATTGCCCAGCACGTCTTTCTGCGCCGGTCGCAGCGTCAAGCTGGATGACAGAGTCGCATCCATGTTGATGTTGCGATTTTGTCCTCTGGAGCAGATTCTTTCTGAATTTTATCCGCAGCTTTACCGACTTAACGAGATTCTCCAGGTGAGTTTTCATCATGATTTTAGGTTCATTGTTACTGAGACTAATGAATCTTTTTCAGCTTGAGGACGGGAGAAGTGCGCATCACCTTTACCTTTGTCGTTTGAATACGTAGATAGAGAAGGCATCTATCTCATTGAAGCGGGGTCAGCGATCTATCTCTATTTCTCGTCCCACTCCGATGTTCAACTCATACAGGACCTCTTCGGATGTCCCTACTCTCAAGTCGACGAGGTAAGTTAAGCAGTTTCATGATTTTCCTACTTATTCGTGAGAAGGCGTCATTAGGTTCGCTCTTGTAATTTGTATATGGCTGATTCAATCCATCAATCCAAGTTTCATTCTGACCACTCTAAGCTCCCGCGTAATGCTCGCGGCATGAAAGGTAGATTTCGATGCAACTTGTCGGTGTGTGGTGGCATCAAATTCTTTCAGCGAAACACGAACTTAGTTCACTTTGTAACCCCTTTCCTTGGGTATTATTTATTGGATTACCTAAGGCCTATGAAAATACAAACATCATTGAGTTATTTGATTTCCGCATGCAACAGTGCTGGCTGGTGGAACGAACGAATGATGGTTGTAGTGTTACTGATTACCCATTGAGTTCCCACTGCTCGTCATCCTTTTATTTTATATACCGCTAACTTGGCGTGTCCGTTTGTATGTATGTCTGCATATATGTCTGTCTATCCGTTCGCAAAATGAAGTGAGTTAAGGCAGCTAATGGAATAAACAACCGCTAACAGAATCGCTCGCAGGCTGAGCTTATATAATATTTTGTCATGAAGGTATCGTGATAACACTCGCCTACGGCCAATAAATGAACACACTACCTAGCACACCTTCCGTGTCATTCCACAAAGTGCTGGGCAGTGCTAGCTGGGAGGGAGGGTGGAGAATGGTGGATGGGGAGGGGAGGCGGGAAATTTAGGTTGACGGACTACTTGAACTCAGCCCTTTACCGCCTCTGCGCTCTCTAGCGGGTCCCTCTCCTCTCCAAGGCTTAGTCCTAGGGCATTCTCTAATCGTCTGTGCTCTAGCCATCGCGGCAGGACCATTGAGGAAAAATCAAGTAGTCCGTAAACCGGAAATTTACTGTCATGTGATGATTATGGCGAGCGAGGTGTTGGTGCCACAGCGGAAGACATAGTCTCGCAGGGAAGAAAGGTCCTAGCGGTTGACGGGAGACCAACATGGTTTCGTTATAAACTGCAACTTTTGTGGGAATTCACAGCCTCCATTTTGTAGACGTTAACGGTGTAAAGCATTTCCTTATGGTTTTCTTCATCTACGAGTGGCTTTCCTCTGTCTTGACTGGTAAACTGTCCTTGTTATAGCTCATCGCTAATTTCTCTTTCCTCTGTCTTGACTGGTAAACTGTCCTTGTTATAGCTCATCGCTAATTTCTCCAAAATGACTTATCCTTATCGGTGGTTATCACCATTGCCACTTACCGCTCGTCAAACTCCATTCACGTAGATCCAACCACTCTACGGTGCGAAGAATTTAATGCCACCTACTTCAGCGGTCCCGCGGCCACCTAATATGTATGAGTGCGCGCGCAGACGGCGCAAAGAATTCAGTGCCGTTTACATCCCAATGCCTGTTATCAATTCTTTTCACATGTTTTCAGTCGCGATCATCCACCGTTTGTGTCTTCGTCTCATAATACATGAGATGTATGGGTGCGAACATTCTCCTGTTAACACGAATGCGTAACGAAACCTTTGCCATTGGCATTCCTACTCCCGTTATCAGATCTTATCAATTGCTATCAGTTTCTATCGCCCATCGTTTCTATCCCTGTCCTATCCCCCCACAACTTTACTGTAAAAACTTTACTGTAAACACGAACGGCGTAAATCATTGATATTGGTATTCCCACGCCCTTGTCAGATCTTATCAGTTGCTATCAGTTTCTATCGCCTTATTAGCTCTTATCAGTTCCTATCGCCTTGTCAGCTCTTATCAGTTCTTACCAGATTCCATTACCCGCCATCTGTATCCGTGTCCTGTCTCCTTTGTTTCTTCTAGGTGTTAATCACCTCTCGACCAGTGAAAAAGAGATTATGATTTCCCGATTAAACAGACAGACACACGCAACCGTGATGTATCGCCATCAAAGTATAATATTTTCATAGCTAGGGTTCATGTTGTAGATAAAGCTTGATTGGAAGGTCTTGCCTAAGTACCATCATCTTTTTCCTTTTAAGCAGTCGTTCCGGATTCATGAAAATCCGTTCTCCGAGAAAGTCCATGCTTTCGTTCGTCATGTAACGGCTCTCAAATTCTACCTTGGTCCTGTGATTCTTGTCAAGTAGGTGTCGCAATTTATTTTCCGGACATTATTCTTTCAATAAATATTATTATATATATTTATATTTATATATTACACATTGTTGAGGGCGGAAGTGGTGTAGTGGCAAGTGGCACGCTTACCACGCGAGCGGTCCGGGGATCAAATCCTGGGTCGTGAGTCGCCCGGGCCAACCAAGCCTTCCATCCCTCCGGGGTCGGTTAATTGGTACCAGACTTGTCTGGGAGGATAAAAACACTGACTTGTACATCGGCTGGCCCCCGCAAGTCATTGTATAGGCCACATCGCATTCAAACGCCACTACGAATGGAAGTAGAATGCGTGCCGCATCCCAAAAAGGGATTGATCAACGGCAAATGCTTTATCTTTCATTATATATGACATTATACATTGTATTATATATTATATTGTATTAAATAGGTACTTTTATCAATTACTTATTTTATTTTATTGTATTTTATTATGTTATTGAATATAAAAATAGTTAATATTCGAGTTACAGGGAGGATTCGGCTATACGTGAAGACGTAATGAGGCGATTTGTTGACGACCGTAGCGAGTCCACGCACTCCTATGTCGAGTTCTTGCAACACATAAAACGCGAAATCAGTAACACGTGACAGGACAATTTTCGCGTCATGTAATCACATTTTGTCCTCTTGCCAATTCAACAGAAAGCGTAAGTAGATCAGTATTGCAAACCTTTGTATTAAGTGGTGCAATGAAAACTTCACTTTCTGCTTAAATATTTTTTGTGTAATGTACCACATTGGATTGTTGCAGTTCCAGTCTTCTTGTTTTCTACGCGGCTCAGCAAGTGGTGGTTGATTAACTGTAGTCCTGTACAGCAACATAGCCACTTTTTGTTGGATTTGATAAGTTTGTCTCTCCAAAGTCAGTCGCAGCTTCTTTCTTTTGAATATCATTTTTGCGATATCTGCCCGGTTTTGTTCTGGTCCAATGGATCATTATTAGCTCCGAAGTATTTATCATCTGTTGTGTCTTATTACGGTCTTCTGCTGGGTGGTACACAGCTCAAGGGAATCGTGTTACGAGATGAAAGTTGGTTCTGTCCTTTCTACCTTGTAGTTAATCGCTTAGATTTAGTGAATGGCACCCTAATATTATGATTTGAGTCAACGTTTAAGTCTGTGCGCATGACTAGAATAATCTATTGAATATATTCGCGTTCCTTTTGTGCATTCTAAATACAAAGGAAATAGATATGCGAGCTGTGATCACGAGTTTTCTTTCTTTCATTGTGGATTGTACTAAATCTGCGTAATTTTCAACAACCTAGGTATATTTGTATTGATTTAATAGACGTATATTTTTCCTGAGTGCATAAAGTATTTGTTATAAGAATGGTTCATGACGATTCAATGATTGCTGAGTAATTTCTAACAATACTATTTATCGGATTACATCGACCTCTGCAATGTAAAATATCAAAATGTTGAGGTTCTGTGTTAATGATCTCAGTCGACCGGTCTCCTGCCGGGAATAGCGGCAGTCGGAATTCAGAAGACGTTAAGTCTGAGTAAAAGCAGAAGAAAATGAGATACATTCGTTGGCTCATCTCTTCGGTAAGTGGCTTGTCGTTTTGCTGAGGTATTGCCAAATATGTAAGATATAGGTCGGTCGGACTGCTTTCAAAGGTGACGAAATTGTGGGAAGCTTGAACATTTGCGCAGCCCTTGGCGGCCGTTGCTCCTCACATAGGGTGTTGCTCTCTAACCAGAGGCTTTCTCTTCATTTGAGCAGTCTTGCAGCTGTTGCGTTCAACCTGAATCTGGCAGTCCGGAGCAGGGGAGGCGCCTGCCCGTTTGATACCCATAGAAGCGGAATCTGGGGGCTATTTTATACACTTTTATGCACTGTGTGTGGTGTGGTCAACAACATAGCCTATCCCATTAGGCGCAATTCCTATTGAGTTGGGATGAATAGTCCATAGTGTTTCTAAGCTGTTGTCCATCCTGGGTGATTGAGAAAACCGATTTCGTCAAGGTGGGCAGCACTTTTGCAAGGTCGCCTCTCGTTTTTGTAGAGAGAGAAGGCAGTTAGACATGTCGGTAAGCGCTAGTTAGGCCTTATCTAGTACTTTCATATTGTTTAAAAATGACGTCGTATAGCACCAGATATCAACGAACACTGTGCTTAAAATGGTTAATCTTAAATATGCCCGGCATTTTTTGTCGTTTCAGTGGTCCCCAAGATGCAAAAACTGAGTCCGTGCCCCATAGATGCTTCTCGCGTGGCGAAACATGATACAGGTATGTGGTTCTGGTGAGAGCTTAACCATCGAATTCGACTCTGCTTTCTAAGGTGTGTCGGCTCTCAATCCGGAAAATATGCGAAGCGTTTTCCACAAGGAAAAGTTTGCGATGAGGAAGCGAAAACTGCTAGAGCGATCAGAAAAGACGGCTCGAGCTGAGCTGCTGAATAGAGAAGAGGTGTGTCGTAGTTTTTAATTTTAGTGAAGCCATTTACTTCCAATTGGTAGCGAGCACTTACCGCAGTTCTATTACTGGTTATTCTTAGCTTTTTTTTTACCTCTGTGAGAGCTACTTTTGGATTCGACATTGCTTACTACTTCATATCAATTTGGAAATGCCTTATGAAATGGTCGAGCAAAGGAAGTGAGCGAGCACGTCCAAAATGTTGTAATTTTGCTGAACTGGTGTTTTTCGCATAAAACCATGACACGTCGGGTAAGGGTATGCCTTGTGTCTAGCCCTGGTCTTTTCTCTCACAGCTTCTCCATTACCAGTAGAACTCTTCAGCATCAAAATGGTCATTGGTGGAGGTCTACATGGTGATTTTGGAGTTATTTTTATATTTTCAAGTCATCTCTGGAATTTCCGATCCTTCATTATTGTTGTGTTTGGTTTAGCGCTACATTAGGAGAATTGTTTACGTTTTTTCATTACTAATTTTTTGCAGGAGGGTTTCATAGAAGGAGATGATGGCGAACCGACCTATTTGATTCGACAAAAAGAGATTGCTGACGCGGTCGACATTGCGAATGCTAGCAAGGCTAGTTCTGATTTCTTTCCGGGTCTGATTCAATAGTTTTCAACAGTGAGCTTGCCGTTACTGCTTGTTACAGTACTTCGAACTTCATCTTGACAATTTTGGACCATACCGAATATCCTACACGGACAACGGACGTCATCTTCTATTAGGTGGCAAAAAAGGCCATGTAGCAGCACTAGATTGGCAAACTAAGAAACTGCACTGTGAGATAAATGCAATGGAAACAATTCGTGATGTCCAGTGAGTGTTCTGACCTTGTTTGTCAACGTTTGTGTCATTTTAAGTCGTTTTTTCCTGTCATCTAATTGACCTTCATTTTTTACAGGTGGCTGCACACCGAAAATCTTTACGCCGCTGCACAGAGACATTACACATACGTGTACGACAATCAGGGAATAGAGTTGCATTGTGTAAAACAGTTCCATGAAATTCACCGGCTTGAATTCCTCCCTCGACATTTTCTTTTAGTAGGATCCGTGAGTCCTACATCTGAAGAACTTTCCTATTCTGTTCTAATGATAGTCTTAACATTGTGATGTTC